TTTCGAATTCATATATTTTTTTTATTTCAAGGTAAGAAACTGAATGGCAAGTTGAAGTTGCATCGACTTCAAGGCGGCGGTTTCACTGTTGTAGTTTCACGATGTAAAATAAAATATATATAATAATAATACTTGTTTAATTATTTGGGTTTTCAGCCCCAAAAATGATCACCACGAATTACGGTCAATGTTTGTCCTGTCTAGGACCAACGCCCGTCCTAAACTCAGTATAGAGAAACTAACGGGAATCGATATTCCGAACAAATTATTGGGACACGGTCGACAGACATTCCAAACAATCAAAATTATTAACGAAAAACAAAATTTTTCTTGATATTTACAAACATACTGTCATGACAAACATATGTAAAATTAGCAAATACACAAAGAGGTATACTATTAGCTTTTATTTTAGGCTTTTCTTTCACTCAGTCCATGCATGAAACTGCCATTTAGCATCGTGGTCCTTCAGCTTGGTTTCGCCTTGAGGAAAACAACAATAATTAGACAAGTCTAAAACACATTACGAAGACTCAACAATCAGGAAAGAAACACCAGACAACCATGTCGTACTTGTGTTGAAACACATTTTGTTTTTTATGTCAGAATATTGTTTAAAATAAAATATTTAATCCCAGCCAAATCGAGGTCAAAGGGCCAGATTGCGTGCATATAATTACAAATAGTTAAAACAAAAAGTATTTGAACTTTTGTTGGCTGTTCAACATCTACGAAAACCAGAAAGACAATTATAAGACAATGTGAACCTCGGAAATTTTTCTGTTAGTTCGAATCTTAAATGCAAGCAATATTTCCAGGTTTGAGCGTTCGAAAATAAAGCGGAAATTGTCTGGTCGAATTCAACAAGCGGTCGCAAAAGCGAGCGAAAAAAAAAGTGATTGGAAAGTGGAAGTGAGCAGGAGGTTGGGTGAAATGAGTACTGTACTATGGATGCTCAAATGAACTAAAAAAATGCAAGAAACGACAACGCTCTTCAAAAATATAAACCACACACTGCAGTACTCAATAAACTCACTATGGCTGTCCCTCAACTGAACCTAGCCCAAAATGTCACAGAAATGCCCGGATGTAGTATGTTAGTATGTTAATTCTTAGCTATTGTTCGTTGTTTCTTATCTCCATGAACGGCGTCCATGGGCTAATTCAAGACATGTTTAAAAGTCTCCCACAACCACAAGAATAATGAGAAAAAATTAACATGGATACAAAGCTGTTGGAAATGGTTATTATGATCTATACAGCCCACAATGTTTGTCACCTTGACCTACACTTTAATGGGTGTATTGTCAATAACAATTTGGCTTAAATCTTTCAATCTCAATGATTTGGATAAACTAGTTACTGTAAAGTAATTTATTTTCTCTTACAACTAATTTTCACTTCAAAAAATAAAATCCAGCGGATATACTTTTTTTCCTATATTTTACATTCAACTCGGTAAGAATCAGTGCAAGTATATTCCATACAAAACAACCAAAAAGTCGTTCCAGTCATTTTAAAACACTCAAGGCTGGTAAATTTTTTGGGGACAGTTAGTTGCCTGTACACTTTAATTTTGTTCGCTAAAGGATTATGGTTCAACCTATGGGCATAAATAAGCTATGATCATGAAATCAATGTCGAAAGCAGTGGACTTACTGGCAAACTGAGTAACCAAAGCGCACGTATAACCTGAGTTATAACATCTCCTTGACGCAGGTGTACCACCAAACACAAATAAGTGGACACAAGAAAGTCAGCAGTCTAAACCGACACTCAGTTCCAAACAAAGATCACCAACGCCAAATGAGCAACATTTTAACCAGTAACCAAAACTCGTTCAATCCATGACGAGCAAGTAACATCACGAAAATCATCCCGTCAGTGGAGTACCGCAGTTGCACGCCAATTATGCCAATGCACAATTCTGTGGAGGAACTTTTAACTTCAACATCAACTGTGTATCATAGTCATCCAGTTCAAGTTCAGGTTCTGTCGTGGCCCCAACTAAATGTCCACAAATTATTTATTTGAACGGTGACTCAGATGAGACGTCGGATTATTTTATTTTCACACAGACAGAGATGTACGTTCTACACTGGCACGCGTTGCTAGGGCGTAACACCATCTTGGGACATATTAATGGGCAATGGGGTTCCCGACCTAAATTCCATCCCGGTTTGTTGCATGTTCTTTATTCAATATTAAAATAATAACACAACCCCACACCCTCCCTGTGGCTTTGCTTGTGAAAGTACTGCAGGATACACTGCATCACTCATGAAAATAACTTCTATATGCAACGAAAGCCATAGGAAGGGTTCTGTCATATTATTGCTTGAACCCCTTCTCTGAAAATTGAATGTCCCAGCTCCTCCCTTCCTCCCTCCCTCCCTCCCTCCCTTCCTCCCTCCCTCCCTAGTTTTAAGCTGGTGATTGTAGATGCAACTTTGGTACTGCATGTTTATTTGTTATTTTAATTTTACCTACCAACCTCATGTCATCCTTTCCGTGCAGTACAACTGACAGGTTCTCCTCCATAGCAGGTTTTGATCTTCAATTGAGAAATTAAATCTGAATAACAAAACATGTAAATTGGCAATAAATATAATATTATTGTGTTGTATCATGAGGTTACCATGATTATACAGTGTACACAATGGCAGTACCGTCATCATAAGCTTGACTGGCACATAGCTGAGGTCAATATGAACACAGTATATGTTGCTGCAATATACTTTTCAGTATTCTCATAACATTATTAAACATTTTTTTTTTATAAAGACCTAAAATGCCAACAAAAAAACATTTTAAAATATTTGTGTCTGAATGCAAGATACATACTACTTACTGAATGATAATAATTGAAAAAAAAAAAAACTTTGAAAGTATATCGAAACTACCGGTAGTATGTAGAAAAGTAATCTTATTACCAATTCATAGAAAAATTATACATGTACATATGCTCCTTGTGAGGTATAGTGGAATTCACGTAACAGATTTCAATATGTGTTGAGAGTCAGAACAAAGTCACACATGCCAAAACATGCGTGTGAACAGTCAGGATTAAGCTGGCACATGCCGTAAAAAAATAGACCTTGGCCCAAACAAAGAGTCTGGCCCGAAACTTGGCAGGTCCAGAAATTGGCTATAGCATGCATGGCACGAACCAAAATCACATACTCTGTAGTAAATTTTCAGAGAACATATACTGATTAAATAAACCGACTGGAAACACTATTGTTTGGAAAGAGTCAATCAGCGTAATCCTCTGTGACCGTGTGTCTCCAGCTACGCTGGTTGCTGACGTTTTGCCGAATGGCAAGTAAACACATTGGGATCCTCGGCCTCGCATGCATTTTAGTCATTCTCTGTATTCAGTTCAGATCAGATCACCTGGAAACCGGAGAGTTTTGCGAATAATATAATTTTTAGCCTAAAATTGACCATATTTTAGGAAAGTAACGATTTGATAGTATAGACTATCTGTATAGTAGAGCGACTTTTACCAGAACACAGCAATTTGTTCCCAATAGTTACTTGATTGTTTTTACTAGGATAGTTTACGTTGCCATGTTTACAACAAAGCTGTCTTATGTTAATATATCTCGCCAATCATGTATTAAAAAGCTTTTGAAAATATGATACATCGAGGCAAAATTATTATAACTGTCTCGAAATAGTACTGACACGATGTTTTGATTTTGTATATGATAAGATAAGATAACAGCTTTATTACAACCATGTAGAAAATTTTACATTTCTAATTTAGTGTTTAAAATGTAATAAAGTTAATAATGAATAACTAAAAAAGTAAGAAGGCGAAAGTTGAGTAAATAAAAAGTTAAATAAGTGTGACTGAGTGTATTCTTTTGTTTGTTCATTTACTGTTACTCAAGTACACATAGAGGGCTATAATAGTATCTTTATCTTTTGATTGTAAGATATGTTTAAATTGTTTTTCTTTATCCAAATTCAGGAAATTTGCATTTACACTGTTGATAGTGTGAAACATTGTGTCTCTTTGTTTTGTGTACAATTTACAATGTATTAAATGATGTTCCTCATTTTCAACTTCGTTACAATGGGAGCATAACCTGTCTTCCACTGGTGTTTTTGGTTTTGTATAACGACCTTTTTCGATGGCAAGTTTATGGCAACTTAATCTAAATTGAGCTATTGTTTTGACATGTTGTGGGTTGTTCATCACTTTTATGTATTCTTCTTGTCTTTGAATGTCTTGTATGTGCGTAATTTGGCACTTTCCCTTTTGTTGTCTATACTCCATTTGTTAATGTAATATTGTCTAATTGAATTATTTAGTTTTTGTTTTGTGAAATCTGTGACATTGTTTTTGTTGTAAAGTTTCAAGTTTCGTTCTAAGATAGTCAACCATGCTCCAACCATGTATATGTGATTTATTCCCAATGTTGTAGTTGCAGGTCAAACTAAATAAGTTTGCATCTAAATTTTATACATTCTGTTTTATTGTTACCGGACCTGTTTTATTGATGTCTGTGGGCCCGCAAGAATCACTAACGTAAGGAAAATGTGAAAACACGAAACGAGTTTTAAATCACAAAAAATACCCCAGTTGACAGTCTATTTATTAGTTGTCTGAGATATGACATGATGATATAGAAGGAAGTGCTGCTAGCATGTCGAGAAAGACATGTTCAATGCTGAAGTACTGAATGAAATGAATACAGAATGTTGTTAGCAATGAAAATTTATAAATAAATATAACAAAATAGCATCAGACACATGCGCTGAACATGTGTACATGTTTTGGTCAAATAATAGATCAGCATATGAGCTTGTGATTTAGACACTAGTCAAGTGAATGCTGTAATCTCTCTGCAAACAAATGATTACAAATTTCAACATGTGTCAAGATCCTGTAATGTGAACATAGCTCATACATAACAAAAGGTAAAATATAATACAATATGGCTGCTATGTAAATATTTAAATGTAGATATCAGCCTGTGCAAATAAAATATACTTAATGTGGACTGGCCAGCATTCATGTTAACTTAAGATATATGACCTGTGAAAAGCTTGCTACTTTTTTTTACAATCCCCTGGCCAAAATCAACGAGGTAGATAAACCTTAATATGATTGGCTTATTCACAGTCCCTCTATAGATTGAGGGACTATGGCTTATATTAGGTTCTTAGAATTAACCTCCTAAACGTTCACAAGCACATGTCGCGTGTTCAGATTCACCGGAATATGCCCAACATGAGGTCTGAAATGCACATAATAATAATGCAGTCCTGTAGTTCGATCAGAATTATGGCATAACTATTAATAAAGCAAATTATTAGACACTAACGCGTACTGACCTTCGAGTTGATGTGTGCGGTAAATAGTTCGACCCTGTGTTCGGCTCCGCTATCTGTACTTTATCCAGTCTGGGCGCAAAGGTCATCTTAAATTTGATATATTTTCTACCTGTCCACTTCAGCGTAAATCCACATCACAGTTAGCCGAAGGCGGGATCACATTCAACGTCGAAAGCATCATGGTCACAGCCTTACCTTTCGTTATTTTAAGCCCTTGGTGTATGGACTTTTTATAAACAAAAAATGACAATAACACGAAATTAAAATACAGTTATACTTTATAAAACAAAAATAATGAAAGACAATAATGCGATTAAGGAAAATATAACAAAAACCGCGAGTAACAAATCGTCATAAACCAATACAACCAATAAAACCACCACCAACCAGAGAAAACACACAACATGTAAACGTGACATGTCGAGCCATCGAGTAATTTACATAGTAAACAACTAACAAAACAATGACCATGTGACTTTTTCCCGCGATATATAAATCTGACGGCCACATGGCGGTCATTTCGTGTTTCGTGACAATTTCACCTCTAGGGTATTTTGTAAAATTCATAAAAGCTACCAAGTCCAGAGATTAAAAAGAAAATACTGAGTAAGGTGATACGCTTTTTGCATTTGCTGTCTACTCGATACGTTCTTTATGAATATACCGCCAAAAATAACTATAAGGTAGAGCAAGTTTTGGCACGCCTCTGTGGGGCCCATAGCACACCATAAATTAGTTTTCCTCTGCTTTTACCAGTCGCGAAAAAACAAAACCCCTTTCAGTAAATGCCAATTCACTTAAAGGTACGATAAAATATAAAATATACACACATATAGCGCTTTGTTAGGTTTTTTTTAAATATACTTATCAAAACATCACAAAAATATATAACAAGTGAGAGATCTTTTAATTGGTGTGATAGGGGTTCTCAGAGAAAAAGGTTTCCCGTGCGCACTGACCTCAACGTTGACCCCTTATCGTCCAATATGTCTGCCTGGTGTTAGTTGAGCCTCACATAGGCTCGTCTATCTCCTTGGCGTTGGCTCTACTTTAAACAATTTTGCTATTTTACAAGAATTTCGCAAGCATCTGATATTCATTTTCTCACGTCGGGTAAGATAATGTGAATTGTTCTTTCAATTTTTGAAAAATTCTTCGCCGATACACTGGTTATCTCTTTTGTCTCATTCCATATTTTGCTCGCATTGAAGTGGTAGCAGATTTGTGAGCGCCGTAACCAATGTTTATGTATTTCCTCCAATAATGTCTCGCCAAATAAAAAAGACAATTTCGTTTATACAGAGATCTGAACTCCAGCCAGAGAGCTGAAAAGAATTCTGACCTGTATTATCGCTCGGACGAGGCAGTCGTTACGATGTTTTCGGTGCGTATTGTCAGCTCCGATCATTACCAGTCGGCCCCCATTCCGGGCCTCGACGTCTCTTATTCAGATTTCCGATGCTCGGAAGTAAAATCCGTTCCCGTTGTACGGATTTTTGGAGCGACACCAGCAGGTTTGTTATTTCTTCATACAATCTATAGTTTTCACATTTTTTAAGTGAATATGAGTAATAATTTAATTCTATTTTTCTGCGTGTTATATTTCGAACGCCTTTTTACGAAATGCAAATAAAATACGACTGTGTTGATTGCTTGCCATATGGGGCCTCGGCATCGTATAAACATACGATGAACGATGTTAATATTGTAAAAAATAAAAAAAATAAAAATAGCTCAGCTAGCTAAACCCAAATAATGGTGCAGCTGTATTTTTAGTAACAGAAAAAGGTGGCATGTTAATCCGGCGATAGCACAGACAGTTATTTAATTCTTCTGCCTCTCCATGGTGTTGTGTACATGAATAATTACTAGCTACAGTTCTCAGTTTCATTCTAATATAACCTGTCGCTGTGGACAGTAGGTATTTTCTACAGATGTAGACATGTGAATACACAAATTATATCAGGCAGTCTTGAGAGTTGCCATACATGTATTGTTCAGTTCACCACAGTACAAGAAACTACTAATGAAATCCATCTTTTTATCCAGTAAAAAGATTAGCATTTCCCCTCAAGGGGAGGGGGTGGGGCTTGCCATTATTATCTCGGCTATTATTTCAGAAAATAATCTTGAAATTGTTCCCATTATTTTCACTACCCGTCGAAAAGTATTCTGTGAGAAACCACTAATGTTTGCATTTTAAAACTCCCTGTTGGTTTAGGGTTTAATATATTATTTGACCTCAAAAGAATTGTGGTTGTTATCTGAATTGTTAGAATACATATTCATATACCTTTTTTCATTTATAATTCTATTTTGTTTTTGGGCACTATCAATACACATAGAATAAAAAATAATAATTATTTGTAGAAACTCAGAGCATGTTTTAATTGTAAACAGAAATTAATAACATGTGGTATGATTTATAATTAAAAAGTATGTAATAAATATTTGAAATAACACTCTTAATTTTGAAATATTTTAATTTAACAAAATTATTCACTTTTTATGTTATCAAACATGATGTGAATATGTCATCAAGTTTTGTTTTACTGTATTTTTATAAAATTATGATGGTAGCACATGTCAGTGGTTATAGATGCTATAGTACTGAAATATATATATAACATGGATTAGAGATTATTGGTGTCACATGTACCATGCTTGGGCTGCAGTGAATCAATTTTAGAAAAAAATATTATTTACTGCAGGTATTATTTTGTTATCCATAAAAATGATTTTGTAAATTTCTTCCATAAATTTTTAATTTCAAGGGGTTTATTTTTATTGAATTCACAACAATTTATTGATTAATATTTTTAATTTTACTTAAATTTAAAATTTTTGTGTGATGCTTTTTTTTCTTACTTCCAGCTCATACTCCCACCATGGTTACGAGACAAATAATAAGTAGTGTCTGGTCATAAAAAGTGTTTCCCCAGCTGTAGACATCATGTGGGTTTATAATCCACTGACCACAGTCCTTAAAATACTAAATAACATTCTGATCAAATCGCTGGATTTACTTACCTATGTTAGCAGTAACACATGTAATTATGATGAATAGTAAGTTTGAAAAAAAAAAACTGCGGTCTTTTTTTATATGTAAAATTGCTAAATTACAGACACTGTTAGGAGTGCATGCATTTTGACGCAAGTTGAAAATTAAATGACTAGAATAAAAGCAGATGATTCATCTATGTTGAAGTCTGAAAAACATCTCTACCTTCTCCTCACACAGCATGAATATTTTATTATCTGCACAAGTCATTAGGTGAATTCATCTCACTTGCATGGGTTCACTGCTTTAGAAGTGCATGTGGTCCGTGGAATTAGACAAAGATTATTGATTTAAATCTGTGTGTACAGTATATGCTACTCAAGTCCAATTGCTTGAATTACCATGCTAACATACAGTAAAACGAGATATTCATCAAAAAATTATCTTTGTCCATGGTCTCAGTGCTGTGTTTTTGAAAGTTAAAAATAATGAAAACTCCTTAGGCTTCTGAAAAATAACCAAGATGTGATTCAAAAAATCTGTCTGCAACAGGTACTAATAAAGTGCCTATGGAATGCACACCTACCCATTAATGTTTTTGGTTTCTGTTGCCCTGAAATGATTATGTTCAAATATATGTCATAGACAGATACTGTTTTAGAGCTATCTCTCAATATGGACACACTAGCATTCATTTGATGATCAGATACTAGATGACTTAATGTCAGCCATTTTAATATTAAAAAATCATCATAATCAAGCATCAGCTTCTGGATTCATATCTCTGACATATATTCATATATCTGTTCCGACTATATTACTATAAACAAAACTCATAAATTTGATAACTAACTGGGAGTGTGACATGTATGGCTTGTTGTTCAATAAATCACAAATTAATTTTTGTGAGACAAATTTTTCCTAATTTGGCAAAATTTAACAAATTTTATTCCGGTGAACATTGAAGTTTCTGTTATAAGATTGTCATATTTTAAATTAAAAGTGGGGGTAACAGAATTAATTTAAAAAAAAAATTGTTATTTGGTATATAATTCGGTAAAAAAAATATAAGCTTTTTAGCTCCGCTGTCGACTTTGTCGAGCGGAGCTTATCACATGAGTAATTGTCCGTCGTCGTCCGTGTCAATGTTTTACTTTTTCGACTTCTTCTTGAAAACTACAAGTCTGAATGCTTTGATACTTGGTGTATATGTACCTTGGGTAGACCTCTCTCAGATTTGTTCATTTCATGATGATATCTTCAATTCTCTAATTTTGGTGAATATTTTTGTCATTTTTAGTAAAAAGTGATATTTTCGACTTCTTGTTGAAAACCGCAAGTCCAATTGCTTTGATATTACATATATAGGTACTACATGTGGACCTCTCTCAGATTTGTTCATTTTGTAATGATATCTTTATTCTTTAATTGAAATGTGCATTGCTAACAGCGGAGCTATCTCAGCCGACAGGCTGCTTGTTTAATTCCAAAACATTACAAAACTTTTTAAAATTACAAGTAATGGTCATATACATGTACCTATTTGTAAATAATTTCTAGCAACAATCATTAAAGGGTGGTAGTCGTCACGCCACGTAAGAGTGAGATATATGGGTCTCATAAAAACAAAGACGATGACTTTTACTGTTGAGCAGATCAACGAGTATAAACTGAGATGTTACCAAGCCAGAGCCGAAGGCGAGGGCATCATCAATATTATGGTCATGACCAACAGCCCAAGGGCAGACAACAAATCGTGATATTGCCCGAATAACCATGTGTTATTTATTTTATCACATCGAACAGACATCCACCACGACAATCACATCTACCATATATCACTCACACCCGCTCTCCCACAAAATAACAACACTTATATTTGAAGTATGCAATATTTTATTTTATCTATTACCCGGTATAACAAGTTTCACATTACTCAATAACATACATACATTGTTTGCTAAAAAATACACTCAGTAAATGTTATTATCAGCCACGGATACTCTATTTAGTAATCGTGTTTCAGCAATGTGAATCACTCAAATTATCGAGAATAACATTTTTGAAATGAATTGAGAAATTCTCAAATGCAAGTTATTTGATCACTCTACAGATAAAAATGTCAGAGTGCCGTGGAAGTGACTGAAATTACTTTCTC